CTCTACTGTTAATATCTCAAATCGCATTGACAGTCGTGATGGGCTTCTGGATATTCGACTTTCCTATGAACGGCTCCTACCTGTTGGCGGTACTCATGATGTTCCTGCAGGGCATCTGCGGTAAGTCCTCGTATCGCACCGGCACTCATGTCTGAGTTGCCCCTCACAGACATAATCTGTCATTAAATCATGTCTTCCACTAAATTCTCGGATAATAACAACTCTTTTTGGCATTTTTTGTGTCGAAATAACAAAGCATTCATTAAATGATAATCAAAAAACTAATTCATGAACTTAAGTGATAGGCAGTGCCTATTAGGCACCGGTAGTTCACTAACAGATGGGAAAGCAAACAAGAAGTAACTTTTTGTTTAATGAGTTTGCATTATCTAATTTATTATAAATTTTAAGTTTGCGTTGTTTAACATATCATTTTGATGGCAAGCATGAGATAATAAAACCGATAAATAATTCTCGTATGAATTCCTTAATTTAATTCTTAAGGAGAAAACAAATAATAAAAACCAATATTTATTGGTCTGAACTTGAATTCTAGCGATTTTATAATACAAGTAATATTTATTGCATAATATTATGTATGATAACACACTTAAGGTCAGAGATATTGATGTAAAAATGCTGAACAATTGTCGGATTTTATTTAATATTTAGAAACCTTAAAATGTTGTTTTCTTAAGCAAAAGCTTTTGATTAATAATCCCTAAACAAAGCCATAGACTCAGAACTAGTTGTTAAGGACAAGATATAATTAATTTGTTTGTATTGTCAAGTGTTATAAATATGAAAAATAAACTTCAGTCTAAATACAATATTCTAGGAAAGTTGTATACAATATACTATAATTTATTTAACATTTTTCTATTATTGTTTGTTCAAGTTTTCCATAATTATAATAATAATTTTTGATTCTCACTTGTATTGAACACAAAACAATATTATAATTTTTTGTGAGATTTCACGCACACCTGAATACATAACTTATTAAATAGATTTCCCTATAAAACTAGAATTTTATATACATTTTAAATGCCTTTCAAACATTATTTTCATTATAATACCGGTGTAATTAATAAAAATTTTACCGATCGATAGATCATATGATTAGTTTAGATCGTAATAAATGGGTTACAATAAAAATAAATAAAAACTTATTTTCAATGCAAACACAGAAACTTAAGAAAATGTTTTGAAAATAAATTAATTAGTTTAGCATTAATAGAGAATAATTTAATTTAAAATGCTTCAGAAATTAAATGTAAGGAAAATACAACTTTTACTTATTAAGTGATACCGTATTTATCATAAACCCAGAAATTATAAATAATTACCATGTATATGTAAACCTTAATAATATATTCAAATACAATAGTTAATAAATAAAAATTTTTATTTGGTGGACAGGTATGTGCTATGGAATACCGTATTTATCATAAACCCAGAAATTATAAATAATTACTATGTATATGTAAACCATAATAATGAATTCAAATATAATAGTTAATTAATAAATATTTTTATTTGGTGGACAGGTATGTGCTATGGGCTCATGTTGTCAGCGATCTGTACGCACGAGATAATAGCGCTGTTATTAGGAGCCGGGTCTCAGTTGATGTTTTGCTTCATAACGGGCATCTTCTGGCCGGTCGACACAATGATACCACTGCTCCGGTACTTCAGTTATCTGATGCCGCAAACCATACCGATGGAGGCCTACCGACACATACTTATCCGGGGCTTTGATTTGACAAAACAGTCGGTTGTCAACGGATTCTTAATAACTGGTGTTTGGATTGCATTCTTCCTGATCGCCGCTATTGTGATATTTAAACTCAAATAACGATAATTATTATTAATTAATATCTCCAATCATAGTATACCCAAAACGACAACACATTTTTATATATACTTTTTGGTTATATTTATATTTTTTAATTCAATCCAAATATGAAAATTATAATTCTCTTTAAATGAATGACAAGTTTTTCTAATTACAAGTTATGAACTGATATTTAGATAACAATTATAAATCACTTATAATTGAACGCAAACTCAATGTCTGAAAGATTTTTTTTAGTGAAACCGCAGAGAGAGAAAAATAAAAAACTCATAAATTATAATAAATATAATTTAAATTAATTATTTAAACACAAAACAGATAATAATTTAATTGATAAATGAAATAAAACTTTTCGCTTCACTTCACCCTTTGTCTCAAATAATTAAACTAAAACTAAACGTATTTTCAAACCAATTATTTAATTATTTAAATATAAACTTTAGTGATTTTTATTGTCCAATACTTTTAGTTCAATGAAAAAACAAATAAATAAAAAATTTGAGATTTAAACCGAGAAACGAATTATAAACAATATTTATCTATTAATATATATATAAATTATAATATATATATATATATATATTTATAATTGTAATTGTATTTTATATCTAAAGTACATTTGTTTCAAATACAAATACAAGTAATTTATAATTTATATAAACAATAGCTTAATGTGTGACTTACATAATATTAAATGTAATAATACTACTAAACATTACATCAAATTATTTTTACGAATCAATTAATTATAATAAAAAATATATTTAACAAAAGTATAAGTCTTTCCAAAAGCGATTCATATATCCATACAAGCGAATTTGTCTCAAATAATTAAACTAAAACTAAACGTATTTTCAAACCAATTATTTAATTATTTAAATATAAACTTTAGTGATTTTTATTGTCCAATACTTTTAGTTCAATGAAAAAACAAATAAATAAAACATTTGAGATTTAAACCGAGAAACGAATTATAAACAATATTTATCTATTAATATATATAATTGTAATTGTATTTTATATTTAAAGTACATTTGTTTCAAATACAAATACAAGTAATTTATAATTTATATAAACAATAGCTTAATGTGTGACTTATATAAATAATTTACATTATTATGATGATTTGTAATGTAGTTTAATAAAAATGCTTAGTTAATTAATATTATTTTTTATATAAATTGTTTTCATATTCAGAAAGGTTTTCGCTAAGTATATAGGTATGTTCGCTTGAATGGTTTGCATAAACGGATGTTTGGGTCACTTCTTGGCCAACGCCATACCGATGCCAATGAGGCCGCCGATGGCGACGGCCGCCCCGCCAACCATAGCCATGCCTAACAGCCCTTCTTTGGTGAGTTTGTCGCGGATAAGTCGGTCCAACTCCTGGGCCTGTCTGTTGTCCGGCTCCACACTCAGGAACTTCTTGATGCAGTCGCGCGCTCTCTGGTACTCCTGTCCACCAATACACCAATCAATTAGTCATATTCAACACAGATGAGTCGGTCCAACTCCTGGGCCTGTCTGTTGTCCGGCTCCACAGTCAGGAACTTCTTGATGCAGTCGCGCGCTCTCTGGTACTCCTGTCCACCAATACACCAATCAATTAGTCATATTCAACACAATTGCCATACAATTACGGTATATATCAATACCATCAAAGGGTGGTAATAACGGGAACTCCTATTCACACCTAACATCTATTGCACCCAAACAAACAAACACTTAAAACACTGTATTATTAACTCATATGACATTACAAACCATTAATTGAATTAGAAATGAGAAACTAATCACTAAATGGTAATAAAGTGTTAATAATGAGAGCAATGGACGTGTGAGCGGTAGAACATGGATGACATTGGGGGACAGGGATGTGGGACAGGTATGAGACATACTTTGAGTTTAGTGTTGGCGAGGGCTAAGTAATAGAGATAATCTCTTCGCGCGTTTGGGTCACCCGTAGAGCAGAGGTCTTCAAACTCATTGACACCGCGAAGAATATCAGTGGCATAACGGCTACGGATGAGAGCCAAGGCGTACTCGAAGCGGGTCTGAGGGCTCACCACACCAT